CCCAGCATAAAAACTGTCATGCTCAGGAGCTGAACTATTTTAGTGTTACTGCTTTCAAGTATCCACATTTAAATCCCTAACAACTTTGTCTAAAAGCTCTGAGACAAGTCCATGCTTTATCTCCAAGATTACCTTCAGAAAGGAAGGGATGTAAACATCCTAAATTTTGGATGGAGGATGGAGGACCACTGCTGCATAGCAGAACAAAGCAGTACAAAGGAGATTATGAGAAGAGATGTGTTCTGGTATCATCAAAACAGGACCATGTCATAAGTTTCTCAAAACTTTGCCTGTTTTACAGAGAGATAGTGGCACACTTTGACTTCTTTGTCAGGTGGAGAAAACACCTACAATATGTAAACAGAAGACCTAGAGAATGCTTAATTATAATTTTCAAGAAATTTGGCTTCTATTTGCAGATGGAGTCACATGATTTATAAAAAGTAGGTCCAGCCGTTCATTTCTGCTTGATAGTGAAGAATACATAGTCTGCATAATTACTAAAATTTATTCAAAATAATTAGACCACAACTGAAAAATCAGGAGAGAAGTAAACCAAAACTGATGTAGAATAAACACTATCTACATTGCTTTTGCTTAAATTTTGTTACACTTAATAAAGGTCAATTATTCACGTTTACCAGAAATATTCTGTACATCAGAATAATTGCTAAAGCATGCACACATAAATTGTGATGGTGTATATTTTTCACTGCTTACTTTATGACATATTTAAATAACAAATACAGGAAAGCAGGTTTTTATGTGGCTTCCAAGCCTGGTACTAAGTACTTTCCATGATTATTTGGGTCAGAATCCAAGCCAGCCTCCTTCAGGAGAAATGGAGACATGCTTGCCAGTTCCACTATGAATTAAACCTAGCCTGAAGAAGGCTTTGGCCACTGTCTCTAAATCAGTGGAGATGCTGCATGGGCAGTGTGCTTTCTTCTATGCCAGAAGTATAGAAATACACTGGTTATTAATTTATATCTCTTTAGCCAATCAGAGGCTCTTATAAACAAAGCTTATAAAATACAGGTAAAACAGCAATAAGGAAATACTGAGAAAAAGCATGTGCCAGGTGCTCTGGCTGTAGTAAGTAACAAATCCAAACAGTGCAATTATAGTCTACATTGATGAAAAAAAAAATAAAAATTAGGGTGGTATACTTTACCTGAGTAATCACAGCAGGCACCACTGTTGATGTTACATAGCAATATTCTATCAAAGCACGTGAAAAGGAACAGTCCTTGGCACCCAAACTGTTGCAGAGCTTTAAAATCAGTCTTGTGTTTTATGTGATTCAGTCAGTTTTGGTTTAAAAATGAAATTTAATTTGACTGCAGCCAAGAAGGGTTTTGGACATTCCTTGCTGTTCATTTGTTTTATAAAATCAGCCAGCTGGAAAAACTGCTTTTCATGGTTTCCGGTAAAGGAAAAACTGAGTTAAAGAATTATCATGTCAGAATTTCCTGTAGGATAAATGAAAATGAAATAAAAGTTCCTAAATGATTTGATTATTAACTCGGAGATTTACAAACTTCCTGGTAACTGTTGCAGTGCAGGAAGTGATCGGACCAGCAGCAATTGGTGCATTGTTTTTGGTGAAAGCAAATTGCCCTTGTTTAAGTTGTGTAACCAGTCCACTTTGGCATGGGGGAGGTTGCTGGGCAAGGTTTCTTTGCTGTCATTCATAAATATTTTCATAATGTCATCCATAAAGTAAAAAATAATGCTTCTATAAGAAACCTTTCCAAATTGAGGTGCCAGGGCTGAGTTGCCTCAGTTCCACATGCTTTGGCAGAATTGTAGTTCCCTGAGAGTTGGAACTCATGTGCACCTATGTGGAAGCAGATGAAAGAATAGGAATAAAAATAAGATACTGAACTACTTCTGCCACTACATGCCTGAAAAAAAAAATCATCAAAGTTATTATAATTATGACTGTTATTAGATATCATGTCTGGTTTCTGCATATTTAAATTCTGAGAGAGGTGAAACTTAGGCACTTAGAGATCCCAGGGGAATAATTGCAGAAATGATGACATATTCCACTTTTTGAACAAATTTCAATACCAAAGCTGTGTTCTGCGTACTTACATTTCTTCTTAATTATACTTGGATGCAGGATAGATAGTAATTTTCTGTCTTACAAATGCATGTAGCCAATTAGTCATGTAGATCATGAATACTCAATGGCCTAACTCATTAAATGGAATTTTCCTTCTCTGTTGTTATGGCAAAAGAGACTGCAAATAGCTGAGTATTGTATCTCTCTGTGAGCTCAGCCTTGGCCAAAGCTACATATCCATAACTTCAGCAAGTGGACAATTTAGGTTTACTTTTCATTCCTTAGAGTGTGCCATGCTAGTCTTGTGAGTGTGGGAGTGTGGTGTCTGTATGCATGTACTATAAATTGGTATAGGCTCTTTTGCTCCAATTTAAATGTCATTTTGATGCTGTGTGATGGATTTAGTCTTTCTGATTTCCTCCCATTCCCAAGAAATTCTGATCCTAGAATCTTCCCCTCTGGCCCACTGAGACATGCAGACCTGACCTCTTTTGGCTTCTGGAAGCAAAGCTGAGAAAAACTGGCAACATGTCTCTGAAGAAACCACAGCTTATATCAAATGATCTAGCACAGGTGTATGTCTCTGAAGAAACCACAGCTTATATCAAATGATCTAGCACAGGTGTTCTTTTCTTCTTCCCTCTGATTTTTTAATTTCTTTTTTCTGCATAATATGCTTACCATTCTGTCATCTCAAGAGTATGAAGATAACACATGTAGCCTAGTCTGCCTCACAGGCAGGGTTCATAACCATGATGAAGGCAGATTGTTATAACCAGAGAGATCCAGGGAACCACAAGACAACTGAGAAAGGAGTTTCAGACCCAATATTTATCTGAGCCGGTTTTGCTAAGTTTCAGTGTCAGTAAATAATAAATAGGGTGTGAAGACATGACTTGGTGATTGGCCTTCATGCTTTTCAGTCAGTGGTAGCATGTTTGCCCAGGGGTGAATGTTGCTTATCTAATATTCTGTCCTCCTCTTTTTCATAATATTGCAGGACATCTGAGACTTAAGCACTTCAATGCTACAGCAGATGTTGAGTTGTGATTTTTAAAAGCCGTGGTCTCAAATATTATAGAAGTAACAAAACCTCTCAGTTTAGGGGAAATGTTTTCTGTAATCTTATTACTGGAGTAGTTATCTCGAGTGCCTTATTGACAAGTTTTGCAAAACTCCCCTGGGGATTTAAATTTAATGACTGTTTTCTTGAAAACAATAAAAAAAAAAAACACCATGCTGTTGGTTACACTGCATTTTTACTAAAATTTGAGTATGTTTTATCTGTTATTTGTAGTTACAGACTTCCCAGAGAATGGAAATTCTAAATGTGCTATAAACAAGTCTTAAACACCTCTTAAAAGTATGAAAAAATATGTATATTTTCTACTATAAGGATTCTGTTAGTGGGTCTGGAACTCAGGGATTTTACCCCTTCTGCTGTGTACCCCACAACTTCTGGTTCTAGAGAGTGAAGTCTGTCTGCCTTCGGGGAAATGAGCTGGGTCTCGCTGTCTGCCTTGCTTTCCAGGGTTTACTTTGGGAACGTTCCAGATAAATGCATGAGGAAGGGAAGGCAAGAGTTACTCTGTGAAGTCTTTCTTTTTAGCAAGTAGAGAATTATATATGTATCTCGTGTGTATACATATGTGTGTACATATATGTACTGTAATGCAGATGTGACATTGCTGTTCCTAGTTCTTAAAGCTCTATTTTCTGCCATTAACTGTAAGAGAAAATCCTAATCTTATCTTTTACTGCTTGTACCTTAAAGAATCAAAACATTATTATCTGCTCTGCATCTTGCAGAGTTCACATGGAATTTATGATGGAAGTCTTAAAACTTGGGTGTAACAGCTGCCTCTAGGACGTGGTGGGAATCTCTCAGGGACAGGGGAGGGGAATGTAGCTTTGCTTATAGATAATAAAACTTCGGAGTAAAATGTGAAACCTTTCTGAGTCTCAAAATAGTAATAAAAGCAGTGAATAAATTTAACTTGTTAGACAGTTGTAATTTGCAGAATGCATTTGTCAAATAGTTTGGAAATAATCGAGAGCGCATTAAGATGGAAAAAGTAGAGATGGGCTCAGACTGAAAATGTGAGCTAAATATCCTTCCAGGTTTGCAGAAATTTAGCTATACACTTCATCATAAACTCAGTAATGGACAATACCAGAGGTGTTATATGGGGGATTTTGAAATTTGGGGAAAGTCAGATTTTGTTCCATATCTGTTTGGTCCCTAAATGCAACTGATTTGTCTTGGCGTCTTCCATTTAATTTTAAAATTGGTGCTTCCTTTGAACTGTGTTAGTGCCTTTGGAAGTTGGGAAGTATAATTGAAACACAGCTCTTTCCAGGCCAGTGTTTATTTTGACTTTAATATGTTGGGTCTGTGAGTTGTTAAAAACTCTTCTTCTTGAGTCTTTGTAATATGCAGTGTTGGCTCCACTGTCATGGAAATCAATGTGATCTCATAAGTGCAGCAAAATGAGATCACCAAGAGGGGATAAGGAGATGTCCCAGCACTGTAAATAACAAGTGTGGCTTTTAAAGAAAAGACACCCTTTTGGTGATTGATGGCAGATTTTTTTCATTAGTTGGATGAAGATGTAATGGACTTTGTTCATATCTGACATTTTTATTTGCTGTCATGTTAATAAGTAAAAATCAGTTTGTATTTCTGAACTGGATTTTCATGTTAGGCCATTACAGCCCCCCAGTTCTGTCCCTTGATTCTGACTTGCAACCCTGCCAGTCTTAGACTCTTGTAAATAGGGTTTTCTCTACTACACTTTCTTGCTGATATAGACTTTCCTCAGAGAATTTGATTATTTCTGCTAAGGGCATTTGTTTGTAGCTGCAGTTGTCTTCTCAGTATAATTCATTGGTTTTGCTTTCTGAGTCATCTCTCATCTTTGTTTTCCAGGTTGGTGAGAGGCAGAGAGTTCTGGTAACAGAAGAATCCTTTGACTCCAATTACTACGTTGCTCACAATCCTTTCTATGAGCAGGTACAGTTAAATAAACCAAATAACATATTTTTGTTTTATCTTTGCTTTCTGATAATCCCAGCAATGCAGTGTGTCAGAAAAAAAAAAAATCTAGTAAAGAAATAAGCATTTTCCAGGAAACATGTGACTGTCAAGACTTTTTTATGAATTTTTTTTATTGTCTTGTAAACATAATTTACCTGAAATTTTGTTAAGAGATACACAGTGGGTATTTGAGTATACAGCATGGTCTAAGAAGCTCTTAATTATTGCAGTAATTTTAATTTATGTGTCCCCAAAGCATTGATTTCTGAGTAGAGTTGAGTCATGACAATTTGCATACATCTTTCTGAAAAGTGTTTCAGGCAACGCAATTTAAAAAAAATAAAAAATAAAAAATTCTAACAATAGAAGGGTCAGAAACTCTTTAAGATTAACACTTCAGCATGATATATTGTGTTTCATAGAATCATACAATGGTTTGGGCTGGAAGGGTCCCTGCTGGCCAGCTCTCTTTGGATGCAGCACAAAATACAATTGGCTTTCTCATCTGCAAGTGCACATTTCTGGCTCATGTCCAGCTTCTCATCCACCAGCACCCCCAAGTCCTTCTCAGCAGGAAAGTTCTCACTCTCCATGAGTTCTTCTCCCAGTCTGTACTTATGTCTGGGATTGCCCCAACCTGGCTGCGGCACCTTGCACTTGGACTTGTTGAACCTCATTATGTTTCTGTGTAGGTCCCCCTAATTCTCAAGCTTATGTAGGTCCCCCTTACTGGCATTCCTTCCTTCTAGTTTTTGTCATTTCCTTCTGTGTACTTCCTGTAGATAAATTCGTGCCAGACAAAAGCATTATCTTTGAACTGGGAAGGAAGCTAGGAAGTTTTGCTCAAAAGCAAAAATTACTTTCTTAAAACTGATAAAATTGGCTTTCCTGAATCATCGTGATTTTATTCTCCATTTTCTTGCATTAAGCTGTCTACAGTTTACTACCATTAGGTATTCAGTTCTCTGAACTGATGGCTGTGCTTTCTTCTGGTTTTGGGTTATGTTACAGAATTTATTTATTTATATTTCCTTTGAGTAACATTGTTATTCTTGAAATTTCTGTTTCTGTTAGATATCTGGGTGACTAATTATTTTTTCTTTGCTTTTTTTTTTTTTTTTGCTCCTTGATTTTGTAGCTTATCAGTCAGAGTTGAGGAATGTGGTCTTCCACATAGAGATTAAAAATAAATTTCTTGGGGCTTTTTTGTTCAATGCTTGTTTTATGGAAGCTTAATTAATTGAATGAAAAGCAATATGTACAGGAAACAAAGTGCTGATTTTTTTGTGTTGTGTTTGTACAGCACCTAATACAGCTCATGATTTGGGCTGGTAAAGAATTCACTAAATACAAATAGTCACACAGGGACTCATTTTAAATTCTCTTAGGGAAGAAATGCTTTCCATTAAGAAAATGCAAATCTCTTCCCTAAAATCTTATGTGTGAATTGTTTCATAAGGAAACATCTTTAGGAAAAAGGAAAAGTCCTACTGCTCACCCAGTTAAGGACAAGAATCCATGCTAGTAACCAAGATTAATAGCAGTAAATTGAATGATAGTAAACTGAAAACCACTCTAAAGTCTAAATATCATATTACATATTATTTAAGCTGAGTCCAGGTGTGGTGTTCTGTTAACTCAAATAGTTATTAAATGTCTTCACTGAGCTCATCTGTACTAAAAGAATTTGCTATTAAAGCCATATCAATAGGGCTGCACTGGCAGACTTAGTGGTAGAGCTGCAGCTGACACTTCTGAAGGCTTAGGTGATAGTTTACATTGAACAGAGTAGTCTAAAGTGACCAAAAAGTGCTTTGCCACATCCACAGCCAAGGTGAGAGTTTCTGATGGTATGACTTAGTTTCTTAGAAATATCGTTGAAGGTTTTTTCTTGAAAAGTGCTTATATCAAAAAATGTCTGAGTGTATGCCAGACCTGGATGCTTGGTTGTTTACACTATCTCCCAGTTATTTCCACTTCTTTCTTTTTCTGAAGTTGGTTGTATTTTAAGTTACTTCCCTTTTGCATGAGGAGATAGAAGATTTACAGAGGTCATGAGCCCAGTGATATTCTCAGCTACCTAGTTTCCCTTTGATTTTAATTTGCCTAAGATGAATTACATGGTAAAAACTGTGATCCAGTCACGTTGTCACACCCTTTGAGAATTAGGGTCTTGGCTTTGTGTTAGCTTAGTCTCTCAAAGGCAAAGATGTCTGCTTTACTTGGAAGATGCTTAGGAAGCTCGGCAGAATCCTAGGATCTCAAAATGCTTACAGTCATGAACAACTTGAGTCCTCAGGGAAGAAGGGAAGCCCCTGGTGGTGATTTCCTCCAAGTGGGTCAATCAACACTTGTGATAGGTGGTGTGTTTGGCAAAAAATGGTCTCCAAATGTGGGTGGCACAGTTTTTTTTCTCTGAAAGTCCTCTACACATGTGGTCCTAAAAATGAAGCCATTTTAAGGCATTTCAATTTCAGCATCAAAGAATCAAGATACAGTGATGTGATCATCACAAAAGCTCTGCTCAGCCCTGGCGAGGCCACACCTGGAGTGCTGTCTCCAATTCTGGGCTCCTCAGGACACAGGAGACGTGGAGCAGCTGGAGTAGGACCAGTGTAGGGCAGCAAAGATGATCAGGGGCCTGGAGCATCTCTCTTATGAGGAAAGGCTGAGGGAGCTGGGCCTGTTCAGCCTCAAGAAGAGGTGACTGCGAGGGGATCTCATCCATGTCCATAAGCATCTGAAGGGAGGATGCCTGAGGATGTTTCCAGGTTCTTCTCAGTGGTGCCAAGCAATTGGACAAGAGGCAAGGGGCAGAAACTGATGTATGGGAAATTCCACCTGAACATGAGGAAGAACTTCCTTATGTGTGGATGACCGAGCACTGGGACTAGATTGCCCAGAGAGGGTGTGGAGTCTCCCTCACTGGAGAAATTCCAGAACTGCCTGGGCGCAATCCTGCGCCATGTGCTCTACAATTTAACAGGGAGATTGAATCAGATGACCCCTCTGAGACCCCTTCCAACCTCACCCATCCTGCATGTGGATGAGCTTCAGGTAAATGTTATTTAACAAGTCTCCATGATTCAATTTTTCATTATAAACAGTATAAAAAATATAATCTCATCAGGAAATCACTTCACTTTTCTTTTTCAACTGCTTACCTATTTTAGAGCTGTTTTAAGTCCATTTATTCTTCCAGCAAAAAATGTTGCTCCTGTATTTTGGGATCTTTCTTTTTTTAAATGCACGACCTAGGAACATCTGTTATGTGCTGTCTTTCTTGTGAAGTGGGACTGTCTGATATCATGGTTGTGCAAATTCAGGAAAGAGCGGCATTAGTTGCTGACCCAAGAAACAGTCGTCCATTTTTACAGGCATTCATTGTCAATCATGCATCTCAGCTGGAAAGGATCTGCACAATCAAAATATAAAGGCTTTTGCAAAGAGAAACAAGGGTATACTTTCTGTCCTGAAGCCTTTACAGACTCAGAAAATTTTCTTTTTAAAAAGTGTCATGGGACGGAGATGAAAATGGGAAGTCGGTCAGTTACAGCAGTCAGTTTGAACTGTGTAGTACAAATGCCCTTGAGAACTGTTTGGGTCTGGATTCAAAAGCTTCAATTCAGGCCCAACTTTCTCATCAATCAAAAACATGACTTAAGGAATCCGTTGGAGTTGAAAAGAGCTGAGCTAGCACTGCAAAGCTCTTGTAGAATTCAGGCTGGAGATCTTACTGGTCAAGTGTGCCAGGGGCTGTAATGTACACTGGTGACTAAAATGTTTAAGTTTTAGGATTTTCTCTGATGTTTATCAAAAATCTGTTTTCTGAGTGGATACTAGAGACTCTAATGTTCTTTGTGGTATTTAGTAACTATGTCTTTATTTTATGTTAAAGGTTCTTGTACCAAAGGATCCTCTGTTAATGGGCAAGATGGTAGAAGTGAATATTTATGAAGCTGGGAAACATTTCATGAAGGGGCAGCCAGTATCAGATGCCAGAGTTCACACTGCATCCATCAGAAGACCATTAGCAAAAGGAGAAGTTTCTGGTTTAACAGAGGTGAGTAAAAGACATTTTCTGCTTTACTACATTGGCAAATCCACAGCTGTTCAAGCAAAATTATTCCATGCTATGTATCTGTTATCATTTTATAGTTCCCATTTATATATGCATGAAGCTTTAATCTTTTCTGACAGATTGAAATCTGAATTCAAAATATGTTTTTGCTGATGCCCATAGCTTTACTTTGCTGACCATAAAGGAATTAATACCCTTGTTTCTAGATGCGAGATGAGGAAAGAACTTACTAGAATCTAAAAGATTAAACACCAGTATTTATATAATTCAATGTATTTCAGTTTAGTGGAAGGATGAATCAGTTTACTTTTCTTTACAAAGCTGTTTTTAAAAAAACATGTATTGATTGCATATCTGTTACAACAAGTCTATACACTATTCAGGGATTCAAAATTAATTGATGGGTAGAGGTGCAGAATATTTAAAATATATTTTTGAAAAAGGTCAACATTTCATTTAGTCAGGTAAAGAAAATGAAACTCTTTTAAAAAGAGATCTGATTCTTATTTTACAGCTCAGTAGATATGGCTGTTAGCCAAGTATTCTCATAGATTTCATGGAGCTCTAGTTGTAAAAACTGATGGAGTGTGAAATGAAAATGTGTATCACATTTCTAAGCATCATTTGATGTCCTTTCTCCAGCACTGTTGTTAGGATCTCCAAAAATATGTAGCACATGGGAGAAGGATAATTTGCAGTTTATCAGCCACCTTACTGCTTTTACAGTAAATTGCTGATAAGTATTAAAGTATATACATGTCCTTGTTTATGTTCTAAGTAGTCACATTTAAAATACATCATCAAGGCATACCCTAGGTGACCAGTGTTAAGCTGAGCTCCTTGGTCTCCTGAATAAGCCTGGCTGTGGAAACATAGAGCAGCAATAATGCACTCCCTTGTAATGCACCTACTGTAATGTGTTCAGCAGATCATGACACTTAGGCACAAACACATTACTAAGCTCTCCATTAATATTGTCTGTGTGTGTGTGTATAATGGCCTGATAAGGGTCTGGAAGAGATAAAAAACAGCCAAAACCTTCAAATTGTCTGGTTGGACTATGTGGCTATTTAAACACAGCTGATTTTTTCATCAGAATGTTTTTTTTAAATAATCTGCTGGAACAGAACCAAGACAATTAAACTGACTATGTGCTGCCAGAAGCTTGTAGATGGGGACAAGCAAGCAGACTCTTGACTGGATTTTTTTATGTTAAAATGAGAGATAAAATTATTAAAATCAAAGATGCTGATAATTTCCATAGGGACTCATTGAGATATATAGGTCTTGTCCTGCCCTTTGGATAGGCACAAACAAGTACCTGGACTCCCCCTGTAAATGGCTGCAGCTAGCAAATGATAAGGCAAATTGCTTTTCGTGACTTTTGTGCTTACCAGTGCTCCTTGAAGGGAGTATCTTATATATGGTTGATCCACTGGAAATGTTAGGAACTTTTGTTTAATGGAAAAAAATAGATTCTCGGTATTTCAGTAAATGGAACGTCTTTGTTACATATAAGCTGCAGCTGAAAGCTTTTAATCACACTTGTCCAATGTATAATGCATAGAACATGAACTGAAATTCTTAGTGGGAAGTTCATCCTGAAAAATCTTACGTACAGATAGGAGCTTTCTTTAGGTTTCCAGGGAAAAAAAAAAAAAATCAGTTTGCCACACAAGTTACTTTGGGTTTCTGGCGGGCTGCAAAGTGCAATTTGGGTTGCCCTGTTTGGTTGGACTGCTGGGAAACACTTCCTGCTGTGTGTGCTCAAGACAGAGTTCAGTTCCAAACATTCAAAGATGCTCTGAGCAAGATAAAAGGGGCAACATATGAGGGTCATGTGAGCCTTTTGTAGCTTGTTACGTTCATGGACGGCAGGTTGGGGAAAGATGAAGGAGGCAACTCAGAGCGGATGAATTCAGATAATCACTCAAAAGTAGCAAAATATCTTGGATCTTTATCAAGATCTCAAGTGTCTTTGCTAGGTTTTCTGCAGCATGCAGAACTAAAATTTTGGATAACTTTTCCATGCAAGAATTAAGGTCTGCTCATTATTAATGGTGGTTTCATTAACTTACATAGGACACAGTAAAAGGGATTTCAAAATCCATCACAGCTGCACTTCTTTCTGTTGAGGAATGCTCACAGAAAGAGTGAAAGCTTTTGAAACGAGTTTTTAGGGAAATTAATCAGTTGAGAGCACCATCATGTGAGGGTGTCAAAGCAAGTCATAAACTCATCCTAAGCAAGAAGGTACTTGTAGAGATGCTGTGAGAAGTATCTCCAAAGAATCAGAGCTTATTTGCAATTGTGTGCTCTCTTTCCCATCTCATACATAACCCTCAACATTTTTTCTGACAAATTCAGAGTGAACACCACAAGCAAGATGTGTGTGTGAAGGAACAGTTGTAGGCCTTTTTTTACCTTTTTGGCTGCATTACTCTAGCAGCAAATTGGTCCAAAGAAATAAAAGAAGTAGGTCACCAACTGGAGTCAACAGATTTGACTGAAAAAGAGGGAATGCAAAGTGCAAAAACACAAAGGACAATTGATTAAAAATATTCCATAAAATAATCACACACTGTGTATATGTCACAAGTAAGGAGGCAAATATATATAGAATTAATACTGAGTATTTCTAACATTTCCTTCTTTTCCAGTGTATGAAGAACACAGCTAATATGTATGTCCATTAATGTACTAATGATGCTGGATGTCTTACAGTTGTTATACTCCTTAAGGAAAAATCTGTAACCAAGTAGAAGGGCTTAGAACAAGGTCTTGACATTCAGTAATGGTAGGCTCTGTGGTAGAATTTGGGACAGGAAGGACAGAGGAGTCTTGGAGTCAGCAGCGCGGTTTAAAAAGCTGTCAAAGCAATCAGACTTAGTGATTGTAGTGGACATATTAAGTAGTAAAATGCACAAGTATTTGCCAGGATTTTTTTAATATTTTATTTCAGCATGAATTTTCTTATAAAAGCCACTCAAAAGGGAGTGATGTCTTTAAGTGGCACAATTTTACAGGAGGGCTGTTTAGGGAGGCAAACACTTCTGGGAGTTCTAGTTGACAGATCTACTGTAGACTTGCTTGGGTTTAAAATATGCAGTTGCTGATTCAGTAATAGAACCATGCTTAGAAGGCATACATTGCAGAGGATATATAGGTAAAAGTTGAAGTCAATCAAGGCATTTTTTGGTTTGGTTCTAATAAATCTAAGATTAGTGTATTTATTTATGTATTAATAGATAAATATGTATTAATATTTATTTATTAATATTAACATTTTTTATGTCCAGTATGTGAACTGGACATTAAAAAATAGTGACAGTAACATTAAAAGGAACATTTAGACAAAACAAACTTGTCATGAGTTAGTAACTGCAATTACAAATACCAGTGCATAAGTGTTTCAAAGTTTTGATCAATATTTAGTTCTGTTAAGTTTCACAAGAAAAAAAAGATGTAAATGGCGTAGATGTTACATCCTTTCGTTGAGGTAGTCTTGAAGTTGACAAAGTATTAAGAGTACACTTCAGCATTTTGAGATTCAGAAAAGCAATTTAGCATGTTTTCTGTGTTCTTAAGCACTCTGGTAAACTCGTATTTGAGGATTTCGAGGTGTGTTTGCAAGGCACATAGTGTTGAGTATGTTATTTTTGGATAATATTTTTGAAAAGTCAGCAGTGTATATCAACAGTCTGAATGTAATCTAATTTTTAAGAAAAACAATTTTAATATTTGTATTAGTTTTATTTGGCCATATTTACGGATCTTGACTGTTTCTCAGCAGCATAGAGTAAAATACCTAGTAAACGTATCCTGTTTACAGACAAATGTTTGCCCAAAACTATTCATTGAAAAAAAAAGTAGGAATCTGCAAGAATATGATCTCTTGTTAGAACCAGAAATAGCTCATGTTATGCTTCTGTACTCCAAAAATAATTCTGGTTGTTTACATATGTTCTGTGACTAGAAGAAGAAAATACTGCAGGATGAGAAATATATGTAGAAAAGACCAAAGGGCTGAGGAATAAAAATAAACGGCTGGCTACCTGCCAGAGTTGCAATGCATTGCCAGAATCAAAGCCCCATAAGTCTGAGGGCCTTTGGTGGGAAATTTTAATCAGATGGAAAATTAAGGCAACAGAAAAAAATAATTTTAACAGGCTGTTTAATCCCCAGTCATGATTATTTTATGTTCATAGTTCATGTTTTTGTAATGCATCTATGACTGACTTTCTTTTCAAACAAATACAGGCACATCTTTAGTGTTTTCTGTTTTCTATTGGTTTCTGTGATGATATTTTCCATGTCTAACACTTCCCCTCTGAATGGCATCTGCTGGGAGCCACCATTTGCAATGTCTCCTTTTGTAAGTCCAGGGCCTTAGTGCACATCTCTGTGGCTCCCAGGCCTTGGAAATACCCACAGTTGGCCTGTTAAGCTAACAGCTATTCAAGTCATTGGGCTCTTTGGAGGAAATGAGGAGTGAGGCACTGATTTTTAGTTAACAACCAATTATTTGCTTGTTCCTGTTTTCACCCCATCCTCCCTGCGTTTTAACTGCAGTAGGTTATTGTGGCATTGTGCTCCTGGATTCTAATGAAGACGCTTTGTTACTGGTCTTCCAGTTAAGCCACAAATATTTTCTAGTTACATGAGCAAAAGATGACCTTTAAACATCACCCAGCCTTTTTTCTGATGTTAAGAAACAGGAAAGATGCATATATCAAACACTTCTTTATAGCCTGCCAGAAAGAAAATTCAGCAAAGCATAGCTTAAAGGAAACTCTCTGATCTCAGGTAGAAAGGGTGCTTCACTTGCAGGCAAAATAAAATGGAGAAGGGGGAAGAAAATATTTTCTGCTGGAACAGAAATGAAAGAAATCATGTCAGAATTAAGATCTCTATATTGGGAACTTCCTTCAAGGACTTGGAAGGAAATATGGAAGATAGGCATTAATAAGCACAGTTTTTAC